TGAATGTTGTCCATGACAGCACTGAGTTGTGGCATAGGAGATTAGGTCATTTGAGTAATAGAGGATTGGAGATTTTGCATAAAACTGGTTGTTTAGGTGCTGGAAATTTCTCAAATGTGCCATTTTGTGACAATTGCATATATGGAAAGCATCATAGAGTTACTTTTCCTCAAAAACCTACTGAAAGTAGGATTTTTTCAAAAGATATCCTTGAATATCTTTACTCAGATGTGTGGGGACCAGCTAGTGAACCCACACATGGTGGTAGAAGATATTTTTTTACTATAATTGATGATTTTTCAAGGAAAGTTTGGGTATTTTTAATGAAACAAAAGTCTGATGTGTTTGAAATTTTTAAAAATTGGAAAATTTCTATTGAAAATCAAACGGGTAAGAAGATTAAGTGTTTGAGAACTGACAATGGCTTAGAATATTGCAATACTTGGTTTGATAGCTTTTGCATTGAAAATGGAATAAAGCGACATAAAACAGCCCCTTATACACCTCAACAAAATGGGGTGGCTGAGAGGATGAACCGAACTCTATTAGAAAGAGTTCGAAGCTTGCTTGCTTCCTCGGGTTTATCCAAGAGCTTTTGGGGTGAGGCTGTTCTTACAGCAGCCTATTTAATTAACAGATCACCTTCAGTGCCTTTGAAAGGTGAATGTCCTGAATTTAGGTGGAGTGGAAAGAGAATTGATTTTTCAAACCTGAAAGTATTTGGCTGTTCTGCTTTTATACGTGTTTTCAATGATAAACTTGAACCTAGGGCTGAGAAGTGTGTGTTCCTAGGGTATCCCGAGGGTGTTAAGGGATATAGGCTATGGTTAAACACTAAACCAGGTTTCAAAACTTTTGTTAGTCGAGATGTAGCATTTAATGAGAATGAAATGCCCTGTTTGAAGCAAAATCAGACTTTAAATGATGAAAATACTGCTGTTAATGGTCCTAATGATACTCAGAATGAGGTGGAGCAAAATCATTATAATTTAGCCAATTTAGAGGCTGAATTACTTGATTACAGTGCCTCAAATAGAACTGATACCAGAACAACCAGTTCTGATCCAGATTTTAATTCTGGAAATTCAGAGACTGGTCTGGAGATCAGTTCTGATGATGTTAATGAGAGAATGGAATCTGGAATTGCTGAAAATATTGATCAAAATCTGGAAAATTATCAACTTGCTAGGGATAGAGTTAGGCGAAATGTAAGACAGCCCCCTAGGTTAGATGATTTTGATGTTGATGTTATCTCCTTAGCTTATAATGTGTTTGAATCATTAGATGGTAATGAACCAAGATCATATAGTGAAGCTATGAAATCAAAACAAAGAAATGAGTGGGTTAATGCAATGAATGAAGAAATGAAGTCTTTAAAGGAGAATAAAACCTGGATTTTGGTGCCAAAGTTAGCTAACAGTTCTGTTGTTGATTGTAAATGGCTGTACAAAGTAAAACAAGATGAAAATGGAGTTAGATTTAAAGCAAGATTAGTTGCTAAGGGGTTTACACAAAAGGAGGGAATAGATTACAATGAAATTTTTGCTCCTGTTGTTAAATATTCTACTATAAGACTCATGCTTACTTTGGTTGCCTATTTTAATTGGGAATTGAAACAATTAGATGTAAAAACTGCATTTTTACATGGTGATTTGTATGAAAGGATTTACATGAAACAGCCGGAAGGCTTCTTTGATAAAACTAATCCTAATCATGTGTGTCTTTTAAAGAAATCCCTTTATGGACTGAAACAGTCCCCTAGGCAATGGAACATAAAGTTTGATGAATGCATGAAATCTTTGAAATTTAATAGAAGCAATTTTGATCATTGTTTGTATTTTAAAATAGCATGTGAGCATCCCATATTCTTGCTATTATATGTTGATGATATGTTGATTATGTGTCCTAGTTTGGAAACAATTAATCATGTAAAAGATTGTTTAAGCAAGAAGTTTGATATGAAATACCTAGGAGATGCAAAGGTAATTCTTGGTATGAATATACTTAGGAAAAGAAAAGATAACATGCTGTTTTTAAATCAGTCTTCTTACATTAAGAAAATTTTGAATAAATTCTGTATGGCTGATGCTAAACCTTCTGCTGTCCCCCTCACTTCTAATTTCATTTTATCTAAAGAGCAATGCCCAAAATCTGAAACTGATGTGAAATACATGCTGAATGTGCCTTATACTAGTGCTGTAGGTTCTATTATGTACCTGATGGTGTGCACTAGGCCTGATTTAGCATATTCTATTAGCTGTTTGAGTAGATACATGGCTAACCCGGGTGTTGAACACTGGAGTGCATTAAAGTGTGTGTTTAAATACTTAGTTGATACTATTGAAGTTGGTCTAGTATTTGGTAAACACACTAATGAGTTAAAACTGAATGGCTATGTGGATTCTAACTATGCGAATGATAGAGACTCTAGGAAGTCTACTACGTCGTATATCTTTACTTTGTGTGGTTCTTGTGTTAGTTGGAAATCCCAACTACAACATAGTGTTGCCCTCTCTACGACAGAATCGGAATATGTGGCCATAACTGAAGCATTGAAGGAAGGTATGTGGTTAAAAGGTTTATTAAATGAAATAGGCTACTTGAAAAATGAAGTAACAGTTTTTTCAGATAGTCAATCCGGAATTCAGCTTTGTAAAAACCCAGTCTTTCATGATCGAACGAAACATATAGATGTTAGGTTTCATTTCATTCGTGATATAGTGTCTAAGGGTTTTTTAAAACTAGAAAAAATACCTTCTGAGTATAATCCTGCGGACATGGGAACAAAAGTTTTATCAATAACAAAATTCAATTTGTGTAAGAAAACAGTTTATATAGATACTTTTGATTAGGAGAATCTTTAAAACTTGAAGGTTTGTATCTTTTGTTGTTTAAAATTCTGTTTTCAGCATGACATATTTAATCATGTAGCTGTTTTTGTTAGTTGTGAAGCTGAGTTGTTTTTATAGTTGTTTTAAAACTTGAGAACATTAACCGTGTTAATAAGTCCGCAGGTTAAAAGACTAAATCGTTGGAGCTCGGACAGGGATGACACCCTTGAAGCACTTTCTCCAATGCCCAAAAAGGTGGAGATTTGTGATGTTTTGTGCATATTACACTTCGACCCGACCCGACCTATCGAAACCCGGATCCCGTGCCCGCGGTTCGACCCGATTGAGTGATGAATTGGAGGATGGGTTCGGTTGGCCTGAACCGCCCTGGACCGCCCTCAAACCGGTCCAAGGGGTCTGATATATATATACCCTGCTTCCCGGTTCACTGGACAGATTAATCCTCACTCCTTCACATCGCGATATTCACTCTCTGGAGCCCTAGTTTTCCCGACGAATGCGATCGATCTGTCTGGTGCATTCCGGCGAGTTTGGCCATCGAAACTTGAAGTTCATCCACCGTGGTTGTATTACAGCTTGTTCTAGAGCTGTTCTTCGGTTTGATTTCTCGATTCTATGTTTATGGGCTGTTCGTGGTGTAATTGATTGTCCGCGATGATTTAGGCTTAGAATCTTGAGATTTCTTTCGATTAGGTTGTTAATCGCGCTGATTGTGCGTTTCTGTGGATGTCGGTAGTGTTTGGGTCGAGGTTGTGTGTAAGTGTTGCTAGTCGGTTGAAATATTGGGTAAACTGAGTCCGGACTCCTTCGATTAACAAAGTATATAAAAGATTCGATGTTTCTTGTTTCGTATGTGTTCGATTAGTTGTAAACTACAAGTATTAGGTCCTAAATTTTGATTACAATTTCTTACTAATATTATATATTTCTAGTAAGGACATGACTTGAGAATTGATATCATCAATATTTTTATATTTGTTAAATTCATGACATAATAAACGTGTACACTGATGAATAAAGTATATTTATTATATATTGTATAAGTGTATATATATATATATTATACTTTCTTCGTCCGGCTCTAACGGTTTTATTTACATTTTGCGTTGTGTATTTTAACATTAAAATTATTTTATATAATTTTTTTCACAAATATCATTATAATGGTATTAAAAGACACTAATAGAAATATTTTTGTCTTTTCCCCTTAATTTATACTATATTATCATATAACAATTAATATTCAAAGATCAACGAGATGTATTTTTTTAATATTCATGGTAAAATATATAGCAAAAACTTACTAGATGAAGACACTATAGTTTTAACTTCTTTCTTTTTTACAGTCTAAAATGGTTCTTATAATTTTGCCTGTATTTTAAAATATTTATAATTGTTAGAAACAGGAATAACAAATATTTTAAGAAAAATATATGACTTGAATACTAAACAACGATTAAAAAAAAAGAAGAAGAAAAATGAGATTAGTGCAATGACTTTTGAATTATGAACTATCACCATAATTTATTAACTTAAAACTCAATTTAAGTTGACTTGCTTCTGACTTGTCTGTCGGATTTAATTTGCAGGGTATATCCAATGCGCATTTTCAGATAGCGGCCGCAGATTTTCACGTCATATAAAAAATAATAATAATAAAAAAAAACTCAATCTAAGTGTCAAATTAGCTGAAACATTTGAATTTGAATTTGATTTTTTTATAAAAATTTTAATTCATTATAAATAAATATTTTAGAAGATAAATAAATAAATAATAAAATAAGTTTGAAAAAAAACTCTCTCCGTTCAAGTTAAAAATATACCAATATTTTTGGTAAGGAGATTAAAGAATAATAGTATTTTAATTATAGTGAGCAGGTAAAAATAGTAAAATGATATTTTTGATTTTATCTTTTTAGTATAAAAGTAATGATATGATGTATTTGTAAAAAAACAGGATATTTAATAAAATAATTACTTTGTAATTGAACGTTACAAAATGCAAATATGTATACTTTCTAACCGGATGGAGAGAGTATACAATCAAACAAATTGGGTTGGATCGAGTTGAAGATATATCCAAATAAAATAAAATTTAGAATAAATGAATATTAAAGTAATTGAATATTGTATTGGTAGGGAGGGGAGCGGCGAGTGAAGTGACAACGCAGCTAATAAACAATTATTGCATCCAAACCAAAAGTCGCCAAAGGCTGTGGAGACTCCAATGGTCTCTGCGCTAACTTTGCCCGCTTGACGGCGTCGGAACGCTGCCGCAGTTCATGTCCACACTCGCCGCCCCGCCCATGCCTATCTCTCGTTTTCCGATTCCACCGCATTCCGTTTCGTCTCTGCACTGGTAAATTGTTTGCTGGAATTTCATTTTTACCTCAATTTTGTTGTATATGTTCGAATTTCTCGATCTCTTTTGGCGTGAACGTAATTTCGTCAAGATTCTGGTTGTGATTTTCTGTCGGATTTTTTCGTGGTTCGCGTTTTATTTTTCTCGTTGTTTTCTTAGATAATTGTGGTTTTCCTTCGTGTTTGGGGTCAAAATTTGGAAGGTTAGGTTTGTTTATTTATACGGTGTCATGTTCCGGGAATATGGAGTGCGGATAGATCTTTATTTGTAACAATGTTTTACGATTTCATGTGTGTTTGAATTTGAATTTCTGGTCTGATCTTTGGTCGTCTTCAGTTTGATTATTTGAGTTTCTGTCTCGTTTTTTCCCCTGAGAATCTGAACTGGTTTATCTAAAGTCAATGATACTTTATCGACTGCAATCAGTGAGGTTTGTGAAGAAAGGCTTTTTTAATCTCTGATTAAATCGTATATCTCTATACTGTTTTTGATTGTGCAATCGTTTCCTCTAATTATTTCTCTTGATCAATTGTCACACGCACTTTAAAATGTGTTTGTTCTTCTTGTGAAAACTAATATTTTATGGATGTTTTCCATTAATTTTATATGCTTCTGATTTGCATTACATCACTTAATCGCGGCAGCATTGGAGTAGAATTATGTGAAATTCCTGGCAACATTTTTTGCTCTTAATTCTTTCAGTTTCATGAACTTGTTGAGTAATTGATGTTGTCATTGAGAAGGTAAAGAAATTGTCCGATGGGAGCTAGACTGAGTTTGAATAACCACAAGCCAGGCTGCAACAACATCTCCCTTGAATCACAGGGCGAGGCATGCAAGAGACAGAGGACTTTAGATAGCTTCTGGGATGAAAACCCCCGCCTGATTCCAAGCCTTCCTGATGAGATATCGGTTCAAATTCTCGCCAGACTTCCAAGAATTTGTCATTTCAATGCAAAACTTGTCTCGAAAAGCTGGAGAGCTGCTCTGAGAAGTAGAGAGCTTTATAAGATAAGACAAGAACTTGGAACAACAGAGGAGTGGCTCTACATATTGACCAAGACTCACGGCGATAAGCTTGTCTGGTTTGCCCTCGATCCTGTGTCCAAGATATGGCAAAAGTTGCCATTGCTGCCAAACATTGCTTCAGAAGAAGGAACCCGAAGGGGCCTGTCCAGCCTTAAGCTATGGAACATTGTCGGATCCAGTGCTATTGCGGATGCTATCAGAAGCTGGTTGGGAAGGAAGGCTGCGCTGGACCAAATCTCATTTTGTGGTTGTGCTGTGGGAGCCATTGGCGGCTGTCTCTATGTGTTGGGTGGATTTTGCAGGACTTTGGCCATGAACACTGTCTGGTGTTATGACCCGATCGTAAATGCTTGGACTGAAGCGACCCCCATGTCTACAGGACGAGCCTACTGTAAAACAAGTGTCTTAAACAACAAGCTTTATGTTGTTGGAGGTGTTACTCGCGGCCGTGGTGGTCTAACCCCTCTCCAGTCAGCCGAGGTTTTCGATCCCTCTTCCGGGACATGGTCCGATGTGCCGAGCATGCCGTTTTCAAAAGCCCAAGTGCTTCCAACAGCTTTTCTTGCCGACCTGCTCAAGCCCATTGCGACTGGAATGACATCATACAGGGGAAAACTTTACGTACCTCAGAGTCTATACTGTTGGCCCTTTTTTGTCGATGTTGGAGGAGAGGTATACGATCCAGAAACAAATTCATGGGTCGAAATGCCCGTAGGCATGGGTGAGGGATGGCCTGCAAGACAAGCTGGAACAAAGCTAGGCGCCATTGTAGATGGGGACTTGTATGCTTTAGATCCATCCAACTCGATCGATAGCGCTCAGATCAAAGTGTACGATCACCAGGATGATTCTTGGAAAGTTATCGAAGGAGATGTGCCTATTCATGACCTAACTGATTCGGAGTCGCCCTATTTGCTTGCCAGTTTGTTAGGAAAGCTTCACGTGGTCACCAAGGATGTAAATAATAATATCTTGGTCGTTCAAGCCGATAGGCAAAGTAGATGTGATCCCGGGGCGTCTACATCTGCTTCTTCATCGGCAGCAGCTAATTTAGGTGAATCCTTGCAAGAATTTTGTGAAACCTTACCATTTTCGTCTGAGAATATTTGGCAGGTCGTCGCGTCGAGGAGCGCTGGATCTGCGGAGCTTGTTAGTTGCCAGATTCTGAACATCTAGCTGGATCAATTGATTAAAGACATATGGTATGTGATCGGTTTTATTTTCGTACATTCATACTTTTGGGACTACTACTACGATTATCTTTAGCTTACCTGTATGTAAGTAATGCTCTATCGTACGTACATTACATATATATACATACATACATATAGATATAGATACTACTACTAGGGTATCATACGACTGCTGCTATAACTGTTAGATTTGATTTTATGTGCTTCATCACTTCCTGTTGCAACATGTTCATAGTATTGATGCATATGTCGCGTATCATTTGGCGTTTCAGTGTTGAATGTAAATATTTAGCATTGTGCTATGTGCAGATAATACATATGTCATAAGCCAATAACATAATAAATATAATACAAATGAAGCATGTATTGTTATCTATTGAAAGCATACAAAAATGATTAAAAATTAAATTATTTTAATTTAAATATAACAAATTTAACTATGCATTTGGCGATTAATTTCTAAGTTATTTTGTATGAAAATTACATTATAATGTTTACATATTTTTATTTTTGTCGGTCGAATTCGAAGATTTATATTTTTTTGTTTTAGATATTGTGAACTCTACCATCGACTACTAATAGTCCCTCCGTCCCATAAGTAAATATCCATTTGCTTTTTGCATGTAGTTTTAAAAATATTAGTATTATATTGAAATATAGTAGGAATAAAGGAGAAATGACTAAAATAACTGTACGATATAAAGGTAATGACATTTGTGTAATATATTGTAAATTGTAAGGATATTTGTAATGTTAATAGACACTACAGTTACTAAAAAAGAAATTGATATTTTGTTATAGAACGGACTAAAATGAAAAAATGGATACTTTGGTATGGGACGGAGGGAGTACTGTTTTCTTTTATATTTATATATCATTGTACTTTTGATTTATTATACACTTATATATCTAAATAAGGGCAATTTGATTTTTATACTGTTATATTTATCCATCATTATTAAAATATTAATATTTTTAATCCCCATGTGAATAGTAAATATAAATATAAATATAAATATAAATATTAAAGTTGGACTGAGAGTATATTTAATTATAATTTTCAAGCTATTCTCAATTAATACGTGTCAAATTAATTCGAATCATTCTAATATTTTAAAATAATACTAAGAATTATAGGCATATGACTTAAAATTCACTAGTAGTTTATAAAAATTATAGGCATATGACTTAAAATTCTGTTAGCTAATGATAGAAATGAGTTAAATACACGAGTTCTTAAACTCTAAGAGAGTCTGATGTAATTTTTATTTGTTCGGGGATTTAGATTTTAGATTGAGATTTGAATAGTTGTATGATATGATATAAATACGTATTGATGTAATATTTTGAATGTAAAATTGATTTTTAGTATAATATAAAAAATAAAAATAAAAATTTAATTTGATATTTTTTGTGAGAAAAATTTGTGTTTCTTTGAACAAACACACCATAAATAGAACTCCGGTTTGATCCATCAGCCCAAATAGAAGTCCGATTCAGAACACATCCGACAATTCTGAAACTTTGATTTTTCTTTAGTTTTTATTTTTTATATTTTATTTGTAATTTTTAGCATTGATATTTCCATTTTATTTTTAGCATGCCTCCTGAATTTTATGTTTTTTACTGCTTTGATTGTTATTGTTACTTTTTCTTTATGCAATTTAATTTGACTCGCCATCTTCCCAATTCTCCATCAAATCACTCGGCTTAATTCTTTACTTTTTTCGACTCAGTTTCGGGTCCTTTCTTGTTGGAGAAAGTGTATATATAATGCAGTCGATACATTTTCAACCTATATATCCTACAAAAATATGCATTTTTTTATTTATTTCTATTTTCAAATCTTAGGGTGTGTTTGTTTGGGATTGAATTTTCAATTCACTGTTCATCTCATTTTTTTCCTCCAAAAATATCAAATCAAATAACTATTCTTCATTTTTTATATTATACTATAAAACTCAATTTTACATTCAAAACATCACATTAATACATATTTATATCACATCATACAACTATTCAAATTCAAAATTTTTACTATTCAAATTCCAACTCAAAATCCAAATCCCAAACAATCACCCTAAATTTATCCACAATCAAACTTTATTGTAAGTTGAAATTTATGGACTAATTAAAATTAAAATATATCACAGATTGCAATTAAAATTTAAATACTATACGAATTTCAAATTAAGTTAAATATTTGAGCGTGTAGGGCAACCGCAACCAAATCGATTCACAATCCCAGTTTTCCATAATCGAAATTCAACACCTATTTTTCCAAACATTATGATGCAACTCCAACCAATAAAATGCACCAAAAATATAAATTAAACCAATATTATATTAAACACTTGCTACCTGAAATTCACAAAGTGTTTCACTTCCTATTTGCAGCAAATTTCCTCTGACCGCTAATGTTACTTTCGAACAACCTTAGTTATCTTCTATCAATAAAAAAAAATCGTCATTTGGACCAAGAACTCCAATTTTACAAAATAATTGAGAACAAAATCTATAAATCGAAATTATACCAAACCACGAACACCTTCTCCACGAATGTGTCCAAAACAATCAAATTAAACCAGCAACAAAACCCTTCACTAAAAAACTTCTATTTGAACGACTTCCTTTAACAACTGTGAATTGTGATGCAACAATTGTAAAAATATAACAAAATTTTTCACATAACTTAAACCGACGACACGCAGAGAGATTACCGAAGTAAAAAGAAGATGAAAAAAAGAAGAGAACTACGGCAACAAATTACTTAATTTGAAGAATCAAATATGAGCGTGTCTACATATGTTCGAATCAAATGTAGCATCAACTTCCTTATACTTGCATTAGAGAATTTTGTTAATTTTTTTAATGTGAAACTAATAAATAAGGTGTGTTTGTTTGGGGATTGGATTTTTAATACACTATTTATCATATTTTTTCCCTAAAAATATCAAATCAAACACCTATTTTTCATTATTTATATTATACTTCCTCCGTCCCCGTAAATATAGTCTTAATTGGATTGGACACGAAATTTGAGGAATATTAATATTATATTGGTAGTGGGTAAAAAGTATGAATAAAATACTTTTTTACCTTTGTGAGCGTCTTAGTGTAAAAATTAGTAGCAATTGTGTAATAAAAAATAAAAAAGTAGAGATCAGACTATTATTTTGAGACGAACAAAACATCATATGAACATCGCATCATACAACTATTCAAATTCAAAATTTTTACTATTCAAATCAGTAACTCAAAATCCAAATCCACTTACAAACACACCTAAGTTGATTGAATTATTTTATATTGACATGAAAATTGATTGTTGATATTTTCAATGACCACTATTAATGTTTTTCCCTAAATAAAATTTAAGAAAAAGGGCTAACTTTCTAATACTCGTATAAAACCCTTATCCAATTTTCCTCAGCCTACCGAATTTGCATTCGTCGCCCTCATAAGATTGAAGCTCGATTCGGACGGAAATCACGCGTTCAACAAGCTTGTATTTGTTTTTGTAGACTATGGATCCCAACGCAACGGCGGCGGCGGTGATCGGAGGCGGTGGGAATGGAATAATGACATCGCAATCAACAGACGCATCACCGGCGGATTCTTCCGCAACCACTGCAGCAACACCTATTGACGATTCTAAGCAAAACTTGACTCAAGTAATAAATTCGATCCAGAAGACGCTCGGCATCCTCCACCAGCTCTACCTTACCGTCTCCTCCTACAACGTCGCCTCCCAACTTCCTCTCCTCCAGCGCATGTATGTAAAATCGATTTATATTCTCACCTCTTCAATCTCTTCTACTAGCGTTTGTATCCAGGTTGTGGTTTTATGGCTTAATTTGAATTTCACCACACGGTTCTTAATTGGGAAATTGATGATTTGAATCGGATTTCGAGGATTTTCATGTTCTAACGGGTCTCGTTATATTTTTTTCCTACTACTTTACCCTAATTTTTTTGCTCTGTGTCGGCATAAAAGGAACAATTTGGTTATGGAACTGGATAACATGACAAGATTAGCTGAGAAGTGTAACATTCAGATTCCCATGGAGGTTCTCAAGTAAGTTTGTTCCTGATATTGATACCTATTTTCTTGAACCTATTTTAGATCATTTTTATGAGAAGGTATTCATTTATACAACTGATCTTGCATTTATGGATTGCAATGAAGTTTGATAGATGATGGAAAGAATCCTGATCAATTCACGCGAGATATGTTGAATGGTTGCATTGCAAAGAACCAGATTACCAAAGGGAAAACAGATTCTTTCAAGGTGAGGATAATTAGTCTTCATTTCTATAGTTCTATGAAATCTTTTATTTATTTATGTAGGTGTTTCGTCTCATTAGTTCACATATTAGCATAGTTCTTTCAAGCTACATTCGGATTGAATAATTTGGAAGGAGGGATTAAAATTGCACATTTATGTAATTCTTTACTTTCTTAATTTGGTTTAATTTCAAATCATTCTACACATTTTCGAAGGTTTGAACCATAAGTGAGTTCTTGGAATATAGTTAAACTCATCTTTTTTTTTTTTTTTTTCAAGACTTTTCAACTCCCCTGAGAAAATCCACAGTAAAACGCGTCCTGTATAATGGGGCCCTAAACTTTGAGTATTAGCTTTTTTGGTCTGTGAATACTGTGAGGTCTCTGCACTTGATATAGTTCGGCATCTTGTTAGCCAATTTGTCAAGTCAAACTTTCAGGCTTCTTCATAACACTTTCTATGCATCAAAAAAGGTCTTACTCAAACAATTCTCAATTGTGTCGTTGATATTTTTATGATTGCCAAGTTAGCCTTTATGCTATATTTTATATTCTCTCTATAACATCGGATTCTTTTTCTTGTCTCTGAGCCTAAGAATAGAAACCATATGTACCTTATTGTCTTCTATATAAAAAATGGGTAATTTTATGATTCTCATTTGATGCAGGCCTTGCGAAGGCATCTGCTTGAGGATCTGGAGCAGACATTTCCTGATGAAGTTGAATCTTATAGGGACATACGAGCAGCATCTGCAGCTGTGAGTGTGTCTAAATTTGCTTTTTCAGTTCCCTAACTTTCCAATTTTTGTATTGATATGCTAATCATATATGTATGACTCTGCTCCATCTGACGTTAGTGATCATGAGCATTTTATTTTTGTGTAGCTAAGTTGAGTGTTTGAATTCAATGAACTTAAGATTCTTGAAGCATCTATGTTGTAAGAATACTTTGGGCTTGATTTATGTATCAGCATTTCATTTGCTGCTGCCTTAAGGAATGCGAGAATAAAATATATAAATTAGCCAACCAATGTATGATTGGTTTGAACACTTATAGGTTGGATGTTTTATTGGTGGGGTACTAGGACCATAAGTCCCTTTTAATATGATACCAATGAATATGAGTTTATTGTTGTGTTGGTTGATCTGGCAAGTGAACAAAAATTTTTGTTAGTTTTGAACCATTTGTTATATCTTCAGGATACAAGACGATTTCCGCAGCCGCAAAATATGCTTCCAAATGGAGATGTGAAAGTTAAACCAGACATACGCTAATATGGGTTTAGGTTGATGTTGAGCGGAAGAGTCTTAGGTTTCTTCGATCTTTGTAAGAAATGTATTTCCTGAAATTTGTTACTGTTGTACTGAATTGTCATATATGGTCTGCAGTTGGAAATGATAAATTCATTTAAGATGTACCACCCTGTAATGGGTTGGGGAGTTAAGTTGATAATATGAATGAAAATAATATATGCTTTAGATGTAGGCACTGTTCTTTTTTGGGGTGAATACTGGAGGCTTTGTTTTTGTATTTGAGAAACATATATTGCCCGTTCAATGATTGCATGCTTAGCCAAAGATCAAAACCATGCTCGACATCAAACTGGGTACATTTTGTTATTTTTTGTTTGTTCAAAATTCGAATATAATATATTATATATCAAATGTATGGGCATGATTCTACCGTTGTTTTTGGAGTAAAGCGAGGACAAGTGTTTTACAGTCTGTTGTTCGTGACATCTTTTGATCGTTCATTCATTTAGGCTTTTTATGTTGTGCTCATGGATAAAATTTTTCCAGGTTATTCCCATGAGTTTTATAGAATTTATCTTGAGCCTTGACGTTGGAGTGCAATTCTACTGTAACTCTTCTATTTCACATTTTGAAATGTTATGCGATTCACATTCTTTCCTATATGGAAAGAAGAACTTGTTTTTGGCCTTAGGGTATATAATTTGGTGAAAGAATTCCGGCCTGATTAAGCGTAGAACTTTAGAAGTAAAAAGGTTTAACATTTTCAGTATGGGGTGGGGTGTATAATACATGAGAAGTTGGATTGGAATGAGACTGATGCAATTGCAGTTTTTTAATTGCTTCCCTGTAATTTATTTGTTGTGATATTGACAATATGTGGTTCCTTCGTCTTGTTTGGTTAGGGTTGAAGGTTTTGATTTAATGTATGGGCAGGTACTCAACATAGTCATGGAAATATCTATTTCTTTTGGGTTCACCTAAGTGAAATTTGGTGTCTTGGATGGATTCATATACCCCTTGCTAAAAGTTTATATACATGGAATGCACCGGGTTGGATTGTTTAACTTTATGATGTGGTTTACATAACTTATGCATTTGTTCTTTTCTTGATTGCTGATCTTTTCTGTTGATCTTGAACACATGAACTCCTATTGTTCTAGAGTGGGAACCATACATATATAATGCGCGCAATTGAGTTCTAGGAGGATTTTTATGTATTATAATTATAAGATTCGGTGTAACGGGAGTAGCTGTTTTTCATATATGCTGTGGATCAACTCCCCGAGTAACTTGCTTGTGATGTACCTGCAATCTCTTTTTTCTTCTTTTCTTAAGTTTTTTAAAGAAAATTATAAGACGAAGTGGATACATGAAGGAGGGGGAGGATTCATTAACAGTAATTTACAGATCCTTTTGCAATGCTTCATGTGCTGAGTTGTTTTCTTATTGACTAAATGATCCTGTTAACTGTGCAGATTGTCCATTAGTTCTCAACAGCTGAATTGCTACCCCTACTGTGACATATGATTGGCCCAATTCATCTATGAAGAGATCTTTTAAACTTCTGATCGAGCGAGCGCAATAGACTACAAATTATGTCGGCAAGGTAAGACTTGTTTTGTGTGGCAAAGCAAAATTTAGAGGGTGCTCGACAAGTTTCGAATTTGTGACATGGAGGTGCCCTTTATCAAGAGATTTGGTTTCGCCTAGTATCATTTATTTTACTGGTTTAGTTTGCATGTTATTAGGTTGTCGGACATTTGAGGAGTAATTTGCCTCCAAAGACTTTTAAATATACAGTGACCAAATATTTACTAGAAATTTTAAGAGAAAAAGATGTGTTTGATTAATTTTTTATCTATGTTCTGCATTACATTCTTAATTTTTAATCTTTTGACAAAAATTGTAGGTGAGACTCGCGTATAATTATCTATTTCTATTTCTTTATTTATATATGTATTTTTATATAAAATTAATTTGATTCAAGTTAAATATGTATAAATATATGCTGTGTATTTGCATTACATAGAATTTTATTCTTTATAAAATATATTTAATTGAGATATAATTATTAAAACACTTGAATATATATTTAAATTTTTTTTCTTTTTTTGATCGGATATGTTTAAAATTTATATTAATTGTATATATGTTAACCAATTATGTTTTCATAACTCCACTGCAATAGTCTTGGAGGAGTTGGTGACGATCAAGCAATGATTATTTTCCAACATTAACCATGTGTTTATATTTATATTTATATATTAACTAAATATTAGAATAAATTACTTCAAAAAATATGTACTTAATAAATATTACTCATGTGATGTGGCTATTTGTATATCTTGCTAACTAAAGTATATTTACTATATATTGCTTTCGATTTTTGTAAAGAGTAATACTCTCTCCGTCCCAATACAATAGTTTTGTTTATCACTTTTGACCGTCTCAAAACAATAGTCTCATTTTCATAAATAATTATATCACCATAAAACTATCCTATTTTTTCATTATTATTACACAATTGTCAATACTTTTTACACTAATATAGTCATAGGGGCAAAAAAGTCATTTATCTTTACTTTTTATCTACTAACATGATAAGACTATACTTTTGGTGGGAGAGGGAGTATTATATTTTGTCATCAATTTAAAATTAACTTTTAAATTAAAGGTTAATGCATCAGTTTAGGTTAACTGTCAATAGATATTAATATTTTATACAACATATTGTTAAATTTTTATGTATTGATTGGGACAATCAATGTAGCGCTGAAAAATTCCAAGTTATCGCAACAAATGTTAGAGATGCATTCTTCTTATAATTGTGGGAAATTAAATGAAGATTGGAACTCAATAATTTATCAAACACTATATGTTATGTAATGCTGTCCAAGATGTACATAACACTAGTTAGCTAGCTATGTACACGATGAAGCTAAGCTACAAAGTTAGACGCAAATACTAATGCTGAATTAACTACATCAAGAAAACGCAGCGACGGAGGAGCTATTTAGAAAACTACGTGTATATGATATGATACAATTCAATTCGATATGATGCGTATGTACATCAGGATGAACTAATTAATTTCTACCCTCTCTACTTGCAAGTCGAGCCATAAAGAAAATTAGTGTGATCAAGAATCTAAGATACGATAGGCAAACCGGATAAATGTCCGAATGCGATCAGCATTTGAAGCGAGGGCAGACGGACAAAAAGACAATGAGTGCCAAGGCAGTAAAGATGCCCGCGACAACAAGTTTCATCTTCATGTTCTCGATCCACATCTTTTGCTTAACTTTGCCCCCTTGTTTTCGAAAATCTTGAGCCTAACCAAATCGATCAGCTGAATTGAATAATCAACATGTACATCAATTAAAATTAATGCTACTTTACTAACCTGTGATCGAAGATTCTCGGACTTGTCAACAAGAAGTTCGATCTTCTCTCCTCGATCAAGAACCTACAAGTTATGGAGCAGAACTAGAAATGATAATAAGTAAATAATAAATTTGAAGAAATAATATATTTTTATTGAGAATCGTACAAAGGGGAATGAATGGAATTAATCAATTACCTTTTCGATGTTGTCCATCATCACACTCTTGACTTCGTTCACTTGAGCCTTCACCTTTGCGAGTTTGTTGATCTCTTCGGGATGTTCCACGCAGTACTTCATCTGTTCCTTAAGTTTGGGGCTGAGACATTTAAATATACGTTATTCGATTCGATTCACAAATTTGTATATTTTATAATTTATAGCGGCGGCTACAGTGCTGAATTTTTTTGCTGAACAGCACATCTTGTGCTATTAGACAGCACGTAATATTACTACAAACAACACACTGTATATGTTAATATAATACAAATATAACAAACAAACAAAATACACATGCTATAGTCTCAACAATACACAATATTACTACAGATAACACATTGTATATGTTAATATAATACAAATACAACACATGCTATAGTCTCAACAACACACAATATTACTACAGACAACACATTGCATATGTTAATATAATATAAATACAATACATGCTATAGTCTTAACAGCACACAATATTACTACAGACAGCACATTGTATATATTAATATAATACAAATACAGCACATGCTATAGTCTCATACAACACACATAACAGTTAGCCACATGACATACTTGTATACAACAACACACTTATTATTAAAAAACAACATATACATTTATTAAAAATAGCATGTGCCGTGTGTAATATTAATCTTTGTTGTTTGCATATATGACGTGTGCTGATGTGAAAAATTAGCACGGACGGTAACCATCCCGATGTTTTATATATAGATAAATAAAAATATATACCCGAATTCCCTTTTGAGGGCATTTGGTCCTGCAGAAGAAGCTTTCCCTCCTTTAGCACCATATTTCTTGCTAAAATCATCCTTAGCTCGTTCCAGAAACGCAATGGGGAGTTGCCTCCCAGCAGATTCCACCGCAACAACACAGTATGCTGCATCCCAATAAATAATCAATTCTAATTTCGACCTCATGATGATCATAATCTCCAGAAATCTCTGATAAAATAATATAAATTCCAGAAACAAAAATGGTACGTAATTGAGAGAACATACTGAATCCATTATCAACAAGGTAATTGAAGGTGTGGCCATCGCAATTGTAAGTGAACCTGGTGCTGGAAGCGGGCAACTTCTGCAAACACTGCGAAGCGATCGACGTGAAATTGCCCGAGAATTCTGTGTATTCGGCCAAGATGACGGTCCCCCTCGCCACGAAGCTGTAGATCAACGTCTGTTGCCCCATGGTAAGCTACGCACACGACGATTCCACTCTCTCCCTTTGCCTGATTCCAATTTTTAATTTGTGATGATACAAAACCCAGAACCCAATTTTGATTTGATTTTGCAGAAACGAAGCAGAAGAAGAAGAAGAAGAAAGAATTGAAGATAGAGAGAAAGAGGAAATGGAAAAGAAAAACCAGGGCGAGGAGGATCAATGGAGCGGAGAATTTTGGGGAAGAAATTTAGTTGAAACTGCTGCGCTTTAATTTGCATGGTTGCTTTCTTATTTGGCTTTCATCGACAAAACAAACGCACGCACGCACACTATATATATATATATATATATATATATAAACTAAGGCGCGTTTGGTACAGACAAATGAGAGTAGAGATGAAAATTAATTATCTTGTTTAGTAAAATAGAGAATTTAGATGAAAAATATAAAAAAAAATGCAGTTATAGAAATGAATCAAATAAAAATAATAAATGATTAAGGGCATCAAAAAAATGAGTTTTAAAATTATATTTTAGTACATTAAAATTATATAAATTAAATAGTAAAAAAAGATAAAAAAATATATATGCAACATCATTTCTCTTTGTTTCTCTTTATCTACCTATGTGATAAAAATGAAAACAGAAAAATAAAAATAATTTATTTTTCAAATTCTAATTCTCTTACTTAAACAAATAAGAGAAATAAGACTATTTCCATTTCTCGGACTTCATTTGACTATACCAAACACAGCCTAAATGTGTATGTGTTTAGGATTTTAATTTGAGATATTTTTTTATGTCTCAATAAAGTCGAATTAATCAATTTTAATCATTAAATAAATAATTATATAAAAAGATATAGTTTTGAGTTACTTCTCCACCAATACGTTAGGCTAGTGAGCCTACTAGAGAATCGATTTCGATTTTTTCTTTTCTAAAAAGAAATAAAAAAAAAAAAAAAACTTTTATTTTGAGTGCTTGGGTTAGCCCCTACTACATCCGTTAGTCGTGGCATAATTAAGTCAAATTATATCGTCACCTTTTGGTTGAGTTTGTCATACTATAAATAAATAAATCATTACAAATTTATTGCAATATTGTTATAATATATAATACATTACAAAAAATTGAAAAAACATAAAAAATAATTAATAAATAAAATATAGAGGCTACAAAATAATTAAATTTTAATATATATATATATATACATAACAATAATCTAAAAAGTTTTGAAAGTAAATGCGGTAGGATAATGTTTGATGAAAAATATACATGTGGTATACTTCCTACCTCATGCAAAGATATGCTCGTTTGATCGGACACACATTTTAATAAAAGTGAATAATAATTGTTAATTTTTTTATAGTAAAAAAAAATACAAAAGTGTAATAATTGTTTGCGAAGACAATCCAAAAAAAAAAGTTAGTATAAATTTAAACGATGGAGAAGTAGTAAAAAAATTAAAAATTAAATGTATCTTTTACTATTTATAGAAATGAAAAAATAGATGCAATTCAAACCAACCTGATTTGATTGAAAGACTATATCGGGCCTAAGCAATATTTGGCCCAGTTGTTAAAATTTCAAAATTTAATAATTATATAACAATAAATGTTACTATTTTAAATAAAGTCCAATTTATTTATTTTTGCTGGAAGGATAAAGCAAATATTTATTTATTTTTTTGTCAATCATATGATTCAAGACCATAAAAATAATTTCCAACACCAACAAGAAACATCTTCGAATTATTAATGGAAATTAATTTATCATAAATAATTTATTTAGACTAATATATTTTATTTTTCAATAAAAATTTACACAAATAATATGCTCAAACAAAATTAATAACTTATTATTAAGGTTTTTCTAAAAAAATAGGTCAGTCGAACATGATTCTATACTGTTTCAAATTGAATTGTATTTGGGCCTAAGTTTTTAAAATTGATTTAAAATTGAATAAGTTATTTGTCAAACACCTTCTCAACCTATCCAATATGTTTCAACCTTATTATTAAAAAAAAAAAAAAAAAAAAGTCAGTTTGACATTATCATAATTTAATATTTATAAAATTAAATATTTTTGTTATGAGTAATATAGAAAATCATGAAAATATTAATGTTGTTTTCTTTTGTTATTTTTTAAAGATTTTTTACTATCAGCTGATTTTCTGAAAATATAAATCAAAAAATATATTTTTAATTATATTATTATAAATTATTTTTACATTCAAAATATAATATTAATATTCATTTATATGATATCAAATAACTATTCGAATTCATAATTTTACTATTAAAAAATTCAAACTCAAAACCTAAACTCTCAAACAAATAAATCCATAAGCATAGATATATTAATTTTTTTTTATGACCATAAGCATAGATATTTGTTTGTATGCTTGATTGATTTTTATTTATGGGTATATATTACTCCCCCGTCCCAATTCAAAAGAGTTCTTTGAAATTTTGTAGTAAATTAATAAATAATACTTCATTCATCCACATCTAACATTTACATTCATTTTATGCACACGAATTAAAAAATATTAGTATTTTAATAGTTGGTAGATATATATAATACTATAAAAATCAAATTACCTTTATTTTTAAATATAAGTGTATAATAAAATAAGAGTAAGATGATAGATAAATGTAAAAAAACTGTATTAGTAGTTAGTGGTTGGGTTAGTCTTACTAAAAAGAAAAATATAAACCTTTGAATTAGACAGTCAAAAATAAAAATTGTAAATATTAGAAGTGGATGAAGGGAGTAATATTTTATTAATTAGTGAAAGTATGTAAGATTATTTTAATATTTTTGTTATATTTTATATATAAATTAATTGTATGTAATTGTATATTTGTAATTTATATAAAAATTTAAAAAGTATTTTTTTTATTAATATATAGTTATTTTTACTATAAAATAAAATATAGATGTTTTAAAGTGATACAGACGAAAAAGTAAAAATGATATTTTCACTATAGATGATGAAAATATACATTTTTATAGTATTTTTAGAAAATTATATAATTCATAAACACTAAACAAATTAATACACTTTTTTTTAATACTTTTTTCCTTTTTATAACTATGCAATCTTCAAGTTTACACACAAAAAAAATAATAATTATTATTATTTTTTCAAAAATATTAAATCAAATTATTATACAAATCAAAATCCAAACCAAACAGAGTTTAAGGGTTCACAAAATTTAATAATCTTCTTTGATCTTGTCGAGTCTTCTTTCACCGGCAAGCGGACATCGAAGTAAGGCTCAATCCCATAGTGCAAATAGCCCGAGGTAATATCGTCGCAAATTGGAGGTTGGCACCTCACTTAAGTCTCAACACCCACTGAAATTGACACAAAGAAAGAGTTTTAAACTGCACTGAATTATCTCTCAAACTCACCGAAAACCATTGGAAAAAAAAAATGGCCGGCTTCTCTCCCTCTCCCTCCCTTTCTTGGTCTCCCTTATCTGTTTTTTTTAAACCAACACACAATCCAAAACTTAACTTGTTTGTTTGGGGGATTGGATTTAAATACACTATTCATTCTATTTTTTTCCTATAAAAATATTAAATCAAACACTTATTTTTTATTTTTTATATTATACTAAAAAATAATTTTACATTCAAAACATCACATCAACACCTATTTATATCACATCATATAACTATTCAAATTCAAAATTTTTACTATTCAAATACAAATCCCCAAACAAACACATATATAAACTTTTAACTAAATGGGTTAAAGAGAATTGGGCTTGGACTTATGGTTTGCGTTTGAGAATAAAAGATTGGACCGATCTGGCAGGCCGGACTAAACAGTAAGCAATTTATTTTATTTATCGAAAAATTTGTTGAAATTAAGCATCAAACAAATAAAATTCTTAACATTTATAAATACATATTTTTAAATAGTATGTCAAATATTTATGGTTTATAGTAGATGTTATATTAATAATGATTTAATTTAAGAAATATTAAATTATAAGACACAAAAGAAAAAAGAAAAAACATAATTTATCAAACTCATCAAATTGATATGATCATATGATATAGTTTTGAAAAGTTACTTTTAAGCGTGTTAGGAATTTGTTCCCCTATAATCGATGACTCAAATTATTTTTGCAATCAAATAATCTCACTAAGTATTAATAGGTTGGTGTTAATAATAAGAATAATATTTACATAAGAAATAAAAGAAAAATTAGTGGTTAATCAAAACAAAATATTTAGAATGATTTGGTAGGTTTAGATCACAGCCTATTCCGTGCCAACTTCAAGTCTTCCAATAAGACAACATCACAAAAGGGGAGCAATCGATGATTTTGATACCAATGAACCTGTAATTCCACAAAGAATAGAGAAGCGTATAAAGACAAAGAGGGATGAGCTCCAACGAAACTCTGTCAAGCACAAAGTAAAGAATAACACAAAGTATTAACACCAAGCAATTAATATCCCTCTCGGCTCTCTCCCTTTTCCTTCACATTTTAAATTCATCGCCTCACATACACACACACACATATATATATATATAGGCAACCAAGAAACCATATAAAGCTTCAAAATCAGGAACAAACTTACCTTGTTAATTGAAGAACAAATGACCAGAAATAGAATCGGATTTGAATAAGACCGAAGAAGAAGAAACATATCATCCTTAGAGTGTCAATTTCGAACTAAAAGAGAAGAGAAGCCGAGAATAGGTCTTAACCGATACAAATATAATTTGGAGAAAGAATGATCCAATTTTAAATCTCAAACCGATTCAAGAGTGTATTAAACCGGGTTGGGTCGAGTCTTGGACTGTGTCGAACTGAAACATAAAATCCAAGAAAGCAGTACTAATAAATTAGTACTCCTTTTGTCTTAAGCACCTTGTAATATATATATATATATATATATATATTTGGGGAAGGTTACGGTGCTGAATTTGAAAAATCAACATACGTAAAATATAGAAACAAAACACATATTTATTATATACAATATGTGTTGTTTGTAATAAAAACATGTGTTATTTGATCATAATTATAGCGTGTGTTGTATGAGAGTATTTCATGTGCTAAAATCAAGTATTGTATGTGGCTGTACGAGACTAT